CACTGATCAGCAGTGAATATTCGCTAGGCCGCTACAATCACTGATAAGGATGACATCAATGCGACTTAATGAGTCACAAATATTAACATTTTTCCACCGACAAATTAAATTCTAAAACATTTTTTTGGTGTATTAGAAAAATAAATAAAGACGTCTGACTTATTTGTAGGTAAAACTTATTTCCTGTTTAGTGTAAATGGGTATTAAAATGAGTAAAAGTCGTCATTCTGCCCGAAGCAGTAACGTCTTATGTAAACAATGCACGCGCCATTCAGCCAATGATTGACGCCGCGTGCTGTGACGGCACGTGTTGAATGCAGTCATCTTTTACAGAGATATTAGAGGACTCGTAATTCCCTGTAAAACAGATTGGAGTAAGCACTCTATATATCGTACACAACTGCTGGGATACTACAAAAGTAAGCAGTCTGTGTCTCGTGCACCCCTTTTGGGGACATCTACACGAGAACATACTAGACCTTCGAACTTAGTACATGTTATATCTACAAGCTGTGTCTCGTGCACAACTGTGGGGGGTACTACAAGAGTAATCCCCCTATATCTCGTACACCACTGTTGAGGATATCTACAAGAAAATATACTAGAACTTATTAAATGTTATATCTAGAGAAGAGTACTTGATGATCCGAACGACTTAAACACGTCAATATATCATACACGTCAATTTCATGTTAAAAAATTCTTACTTTACATTTCATACAATAATCAAGAGTTGAGTGTTTTTTGTCGTCAGGACCAACTCCTTCCGCTATCCACTTATTTATTACAAAATCTTGTTAAATTTTCCATCAATCGCTTGTCAACAATATATTGACCCAATTGTTGGTTATCAAGAGGTGTATATATAATAGTAAAGATTGATTGATTGACTTAACAGAATCTTCCAAACAAGATGGTTTACGTCTACGCCATTGTTGTCATATGTATTGTTACCCACGGGCATATGTACGCCATACAGTTTGTTATAGGGACATTGTACCTGGCGCTAATCCCTGATCTTATTTCATTGTTCGACTTTCTAGAGATTTCAAAGTGATGCCAATGGTATTCGCGAGAACTCATGGACATCGGAACCTAGATAGGATGTGTGTGTGGGTGGGGGGGGGGCTAATTTGAGTGTCCCAACTTTCTGGACCAACACCGATGGCTTAGTTATTGAGCATGCGTATTAGCAATTCATCCCTAACAACAAAAACACGAAACACAATTCTCTACTTTCAGCACTGAAGATTTGTGAAGAAAGCGAGTGATCGTATCGAGTTCCTGTCTAACCAACCTCTGGGTAAAGTAAGCCAGGCTTTACTTTAACTTACATCAGGGTAACGTACGACAGTGTAAGCCAGCCTTTAGTCTCTAATTCTGAAAAGATGAGATTGTTTGTAAAAAATGAAATGAAATGAAATGGTGTTTAACGTCCTACTGTTTTGCTCCGAACTGGGCTAATGAAGACGGGCATACGCCATACAGTGTGCCATGAGGGAAATATTCCCCGTACAGCGGCACTACGGCCTACTCTTATATTGAATTCCAACTGTCAAGGGATCTTTTACGTGCACGCCAATGTGTACACGGGACCTCGGGTTTTTATTCTATCCCAACGACCAGACAGCTGTCCTTGTTAAGCCCTCCGACCTGCATCACTGATAAGTGGGAACCGCACCGAAAAAACTGGGTGAACTTTCTCGGCCAATGCAGGGATCGAACAGAGGTTGTGTGTAGTAACTGTTGAATATGTTAGATAACTCAGTGTATCTATTACATGTCTTACAGATAAATCCTAGTATTTATTTACATGAGGTGTTAGTTTTAATCTGTTAATCTGACTAACGTCAAGGTACCTGACAGGATATATCTGTTAATCCATCAATTATTAATCTATACAAACCTCCCGAATCTAAAACATAACCAAATCATCTTTGATTCAGGTCAAAGCAAAATATGAAATCCGATGAATGTGGTATATTATTTTTATTAGAGATGAAGAACCTGTTAGCGATTAAATGTTGGAGAATTTAGCAAATAAACTGAATTTTAAATAGATTGTTATCAGCTTTAAACAAATTCAAGGGAGGGATACTGAAATGGTACCCGCCCGTTCTTCGTTCCGATTTTCTTTCCGAAGCTTATCTCATAAACCATTCAAGATATCTTTTTGAAACATATCAACCAATTAACATCGATTTGCTAATTAAAGATTTCGCAGGAACAAATTTGACTTAACACATGACACAATTATATTGAATACATGTTACTTGAAGAGTTTATTACAGCGACGCTTCGACGAGGGTTCTCCCGTCTTAATCAAGCAAACAAGCCAACAGTAAGGCTGATGTCCCCCGCCGAAATCCCCAAATAAATAGATGACACATATTAATTAATCGCACATCTATTTTTTTCAAAAGTATCGAGCAATCAAACTGATTATCAACTATACACTAAGTTTCATCACTCTCTATCAGATAGAATCAAAGTTATCTTGTCCCAAAGCAACGACCAAGGAAATTGCTTATCTCTGCTTAGCTTTAGCTCGATATGTTAATCATTGAACTCAGACAAGATGAGCATCTACATAAAGTTTAAACATTCTACCTCAATTAGAAGGAGAGTTATGTTCGACAGTCTTGACCAATCAAAATGCTTATTGCTCCTTAGCCTAAGCAGACAATTCTCATCATCGAACTTAGTCAAGGTATTGATGTAATGAAACTATACACCTAGTGTCATCACTCTCACTTAATAAGAACTAAAGTTATTGTGTCCCAAAGCATCAACCAATCAAATTGCCTATCTCTACTTACCATAAGCAGAAAATGCTCATCCATGCACTCATAAACTCCTACACCAAGTTTGAACATTCTAACTCAATTAGAAGGAGAGTTATTGTGTTCCAAAGTCTCGGCCAATCAAATTGCTTATCGCTCCTCTTACCCCGAGCAGAAAATGCTCAATATCGAACTTAGTCAAGGTATTGATGTAATGAAACTAAACACCAAGTTTCATCACTCTCACTTAATTGGAACTAAAGTTATCGTGTCCCAAAGCATCAACCTATCAAATTGCTTATCTCTGCTTACCCAAAGCAGAAAATGCTCATCTTCGAACTCCATCAATGCATTGACCTAATAAACACCTACAACAAGTATGAACAATCTAGGTCAATTAGAAGGAGAGTTATTGTGTCCCAGGTGTGACGGACAGACAGACAGACAGACGGACGAGCCCATTTTAATGGTCCCCTGCTTTCTTCGAAAGGCGGGGGACAATAATGACAACCATAGTGCAATGAAGATATATATATACAAAATATGGAAGAAAGACAAACATCCATATACAATCAGAGATAATCATTTGGAAACCATCAAAGGGGTGGGAAGCCATAAGAGTGGGTAGTAGTGAACTATGTATAAAGAAAACATGATAATAAAGACAGCTAGATTGGGCGGTGACTATGCTTGCACAGAACAAACCCACTAAAAGATAATGTAGAGAAGCCATATTGTGAAATAACATAGTTATTTGACTTAGTTTTCGTGAAAGATAATTCCCTGTGAGAATGTCGGTGCAACATTGATGTACGTATTTACAAATATATGATGAAATGAACAATTTTACATTAGGCAACTTCTGTAGGCGATATAAACAAACCGGTGCACCTACAAGCGTTGAGTAAACTATGTCGCCGTTTCTCGCTTTAATCTAATCGAAATCAACCAGGAGATTATGTCTCCCGTCAAAAGGCAACACCTAGTAACTCATGTTTTTCTTATTTTGAGAAAACAAGGAAAACGTAATGAATGAATATTAAATTCCAGCTTATCCATTGATTTGACTATTGAGTTACTAGGTTTTTCTGTGGCATACTAGGCAAATGAAGGAAGTTGCTAGGTTGTGTCATGTGTGTAACTGCTTACAAAATGAAAAGATCGGAATATCTAGTACAAGAACAGGAAGCATATACCCTAGTAACTACAAATTTGGTCCTAACTCAATTTTGATAAAAAAAAAGTGAGTTACTAGGTGTGGCCTTTTGACGGGAGATCTAACCTTGATATTTTGGTTTCTTAATTAAATTATCAATTTGAGTGTTATTTTGTTTTTGTTAAACATACATTATGCAAGAGCTAAATCTGTCTATTGCAGATCTTCCTTTAGGCCTGAAATGTTATCTAAATTATTAATTAGACATTAATTAAACTATCCAGACCATAATTAACTCTAGATGGCATCGCTAGCCTGCGATCTTCAGTGGATTATGAACCGATTTACTGAATAACTTTCCTTCGCGAATTAAAGATTAAATGGATAATCAAGACTATGCTGTTTATCGTACCGACTTTAGTAATGATGATCAAGGCAAGTCGGGGAATTTCAACCGCACAGTTGTCGGTTTATAGTGGATCAATTTGAATGAAATGTTTAGCAAACTGCCTTTACATTATCTAGTTTTTAACTATTATAGTGAGAAATGCCAACTCGTTATCGAATCTCCCATAATGTATCTTTAATTAAATGTTAAATTATCAATTTTAGTCTATTTTGTTTTTGTTAATTAAATGTTGAACAATCAATTTGATTATATTATAATGTGGATTAAGCCCTGTCTGAAATGGATATGACGATCAATTCCAACAATCAACCAAATAGACGCTCTATGTTTTATACTTCGGGTGGTAGACTATGAATTAACACGAAAATAGACAGGTGGTTGCTATACACAGGTGGTTGATATACACAGGTTGTTACTGTATACAAGTGAATGCTATAGGTGATTGTTATGTACAGGTATCTGCTGTATACAGGTGATTGCTATATACAGATTGTCGCTATATACAGGTGACTGTTATATGCAGATGGGCGCTATATACAAGTGTCTGCTAAATGCAGATGGCTGTTAATACATGTAACTGCTCTAGGTACCCGCTATATACAGGTGATCGCTATACACAGGTGGACAATACAACCGGTTTTACTGTACTTACCATTTAAGGGTATAACTGTGTTGACCTCCATCTGCTCGCCGGGTTCATCATTCACGAGACTACCCATGATGCTTCACACCTGAACAAAATACAAACAAAGGTTAATTAAATATCATTTACAATACAATATGATTAGGGTAAAATCAGGTGATCGTCATTCACGAGACTAATCATTGTGTTTCAATTTAAAGGAGGTAAATCGCTAATATTTGAGACCTAGAAATTGACAAATGGGTCGCAACGCATATAATAATGTATTATGAATGTATATAAACTGATTTACATTCAATCGTTTCTGTTTTACTGTAATTTCTAATCAGTTATATTCCGTGAAATACGCCAGAAGTCTCAATTAAATGACAATCTTTAGCGTCTGGTTATTCCAGTCTGCACCGATGATATTTATTGTTTATACTCTCCAGATAAGAATATGGCGTCACCGTTTGACATGACTTGTGGAAATATGTCTAGCCCCTTTCTTCGAGTCCCTTATTACAAATGGCGCTGAAACGCATTATGATACACGACTCGTGTACCAATGGTAAAATGTTCATTTTGTTTTAAATATTGAATATCAGAAGCCCATCTTTTCTCGGTAAGATCACACCATCAATGTAGATTTAAATTAACAAATAAATCGTGTTTTCAATGTTGAAGATTTTGGATGATATTGAGTTAGAGACTTGGCTACTTTAAGTCAAATTCGTGTTTTCAATGTCGAAGACTTTTGGATGGTATTGAGTTAGAGACTTAGCTCCTTCAAGCAAAGGAATGAAATGAAATGGGGTTTAACGTCCTACTGTTTTGCTCCGAACTGGGCTAATGAAGACGGACATACGCCATACAGTGTGCTATGAGGGAAATTTTGTCCGGACAGCGGCACTATGGCCTACTCTTATATCGAATTCCAACTGTCAAGGGATCTTTTACGTGCACGCCAATGTGTACACGGGACCTCGGTTTTTCGTCTCATCCGAATGACTAGACAGCTGTCCTTGTCAGGCCCTCTGTCCTGCATCACTGACAAGAGGGAACCACGCCGGAAAATCTGGATGAACTTTCTCGGCCAATGCAGGGATCGAACACCCGACCTCCATGCTAGCGAGCCAGCGCCTTACCCACTTAGCCCCCGTGATCCCCACTTTAAGCAAAATAACCACAGTAAATCGATGGCTTCTGAATCCATTACAAGCTACAACATTGTAAAAGTTTAATTTCTATCCAAAAAAGGATGGCCGAATGGTTAGCATGTGCGCGCTGTATCATAAGGTCTGTCATTGAGTCAACTGGCGTGGTTTCCCTGGTTGTACGTGACAAGGATTAGGGTCGTCTGTCCAACCTCGTGGGTTTTCTCCGGGTCCTCCCGTTTCCTCCCACTGCTAAAGAGCCCTGTGCGCAAGCGAATGATTGAAATAAAATTGAACCATGTGTTAGTCCCGAAATGACCTAGTTTGTGTCGAGTGGACGTTAAACCCATTTCTCTCTCTCTCTCTCTCTCTCTCTCTCATATCAGTAGTAGTAGTACTCATTGCTTGTTGTATAATAATGTATATCGATAACTTTATGATAGGTCATATTGACTCGCATAACACGTGAACGCATAGTATATACGTGTATAATATATATATACACAAAGCGCGGGGTAATTAAGAGCAACCGCATCACAAACTAAGAGAAAATTGTTTTCACGGAAAAGGAAGCCGCACTGGTTACAGATGATTAATTTGATTATTTAAACAGACAACTATTTTAATAGCCACCATAGTTTCGTACACAACCATCAGATACGCTTGTGAGCTCGTGTGTCTGACTGTCTGGACGTCCTAAGCTAAAGATCGTTCATTATTGATGTAAAAATTGCTTGACATATTAGTTAAGTTTGAACAGTTGACGATAGTTTTAGGTGACAATCCTTCTACAAACTTAATAACTTTACAATTAAGTGTGAATCGCGAATCCATGCCAGAGCCATGGTAACAAGGAGCAGCTATGATTATAGAGACCTTATTAATTTGAACATGAAACGTCAAAAGAAGCATGGAGTGTTGCTTAAATTTAATTCAAACATTCTATTATAAATACGTGGTTTATTTGCTCATAGTTCGCTGTACCATTGATTATGTGTAGACATTAATGACTAGAGTTGGTGAATGACAATTATCCTTCAACTACACAGATAGGCATGTCACTGGTTGGTAGTAAATCGTTATAATGTAGTAGAGGAAAGAGAGAGAGAGAGAGAGAGGGGGAGGGAGGGAGAAATGGGGTTTAACGTCCATTCGACACAAACTAGGTAATTTCGGGACTAACATAGAGTTTAATTTTATTTCAATCATTCGCTTGCGCTATGGTGTCTTTAGCAGTGGGAGAAAACAATGAGTAGGGTCGCCTGTCCAACCTCCTAGGTTTTCTCGGGGTCCTCCGGTTTCCTCCCACTGCTAAAGACCCCTACGCGCAAGCGAATTATCGAAATAAAAATGAACCATATGTTTGGGTAATCCCACATCAACGACGTCATAAATGGGGATTTCTTTGTACAGCCCTACATTGTTTATGTTCGCATCGCCGCCTTCCTAAAATAATGCCATTCCCCAAAAAACCTGCCATTTGCGAGCTGAATTTGCCGCAACAAGAGCAGATGATTGTAGTGGAAGACAGCCCGTGTTTGTACGGGCACGCAACAAAAAACGCTGCGGAAACGGCCCCATTACATTTGCATTACACCGACGTTTTTGCCAGTAGAAACGCATACATGGAAAGCGGGTGTTAGGCTTTGTGGTAGTTAAGTTAACCTAACTCATGACCTCACCAACTGACCGGAGTACAAACAGCACGGAGATACTTGAGTTGGACATACCTTTAGAAGGTTCATCCCGTGGTTGTCTGATCTTTTGAACTCGTCTAGCCATATTGCTTTTATCATGGCAAAGTTTATGTGAGAATTGTTAATAATATACATTACGTTAGTTAGCACATTCTAGTTATAAACTAGTCTTGGTCTTGACGAGGGGATAAATCTATTTGTTAAGGCCAGCTTAATTTTTGTCAAGGTCGTTGAGATGTAAAAATGGTTAAGGCATGTGATTGTTGGCGAGATTGTAGTTGGGTTAGGGTAAGCTAGGGTTGGGATTAGCGCTAGCACTGTTTACATCTCGTGACTTATCATTTAGCACTAACCCTTGACGAGTGGGTTGGGGGCCGAATGGTTAGCGCGTGTGCCTTGTATCATAAGGTGTTGCAATGAGTCAACTGGCGTGGCTATGAATCCCCGGTTCTACGTGACAAGGAGTAGGGTCGCCTGTCCAACCTCGTTTTCTCCGGGTCCTCCGGTGTCCTCCCACTGCTAAAGACCCCTACGCGCAAGCGAATTATTGAAATAAAATTGAACCATTTTAGTCCCGAAATGATCTAGTTTCTGTCGAGTGGACGTTAAATTCTCTCTCTCTCTCTCTGGTCTTGACGAACACGTGTTCCATATAGTCGTCGGCATGTGGTCTTCAATAGAAATAATAAACGTTTAAAATGTTTATCATTTTAAATCGATCAATTCTAACTTGAAGCCATTTAAATTCAACAATGTTTTCTATTAATTTCGCCGTGTCACCTTGGTGTGTCTTAAACAAATAAGTCATGCAATCTCTTTTTGTTTGTACAAGCTAAAATACATAATATCTTTATATAATAATCTTTGAATAATATTCACAGTCTAATATTTGAGATATAAGATATAATATATCGCTTTGTCATCTGGTCGCCGCAGTGGCTTAGTGAGGAAGATGTTGGCTCAATAGCAAGCAGGTCTCGGGTCAGCTCCCGGTGTTAGTCGAGATGGTTCCTTGGGATTTTCCAGCACGGCTTACCCTTGTCAGTGGTGGAGGAACGAGGGCCTGACAAGGACAGCTTTCTGGTCATTCGGATGAGACGAAAAACCGAGGTCCCGTTTATACATTAGCGTGCTCGTACAAGATCCCTTGACAATTGGAATTTGAAATAAGAGTAGACCGTAGCTAGCGTCTTCATTACCCTAGTCGTTGCAGAAGATTAGGACACTAATCCCCATTTCAGTTTATTTTGTTTTGGCATCATTTGACCAGCAGATTAGCAGGGCGGTTTAACTCAACACAAAATAGTTCGTTATGTCCACCGAGAGACTGGGTTGAAGTCCACTACTTGGTCTTTTAAATCACATAGAAATTGGGTTTAAGTTCACTCAATACAAAACGAGGAATTTTGGTCCAGAGAAAGATTGGGTTTAACTATACTTAATACGAACTATGTCATTTTAGGACGAAAATATGGTACATTACTATTTTTAATTGTTCGTTCGCTTGAACACAGGGGGTGTTTTGCAAACCCTGAGAAAACTCAGACGGTTACATATAACCCCACCCATTGTCACATAGAAGCGCGGAATGGAACCCACGACCATAATATAATTATATGAACATCCTACACTTTCTGACTCTGCCATCAGGGAAATGGCGATGACGAATTCAAAATATTTAATTAAAAATTAATTAAAAACTTTTAATTAATTTTTCTTTATGGCTGTTGCCTTATTTGTCTCAATATATAATGACATGTAGAAAACCTCAGAAAAACTTTAACCACGTGCTTGACGGATTGTTTATGCTTTATTATTGTTTTGGACTGTATACTATATAAGGGATCTATAGGTCTTCATCCGACTGTGCGAGGGTTGGGATGGCCTATTGGTCTTGAGTGCCGTGCTTCGACCTCTATCTGGCCGGTCACCTCTGGCTTGCGGCTGTGGTTTCGATCCCAGGTGTGGGCGTATGTGACTTGGAGATTGGGGCCCCTTCTCAACCTCGTGGGTTTACTCCGGGTACTCCGGTTTCCTCCCAGGAAAGTCACCTGCGCGTGCGCTAAGATAATGAAAATAAAAAAGACAACTTGTCTGTGATATCACCTTCGGTGGAAGTGGACGTTAAACACTAAGAACAACAACTTAATCCGACTCTGTCTAACCAGGTAATTCTAGAACCTTACCAATTGTGAGATAATTACCTAGACAGGTAACACCTCTGGAACTAGATTAGCCACATATTCCTGAAGCAA